TAATATTTTAGAGTTAGATTCTTTTTTTTTTTTTTTTTTTTTTTGTGGACTATGAGTTAGATTCAGATTAGATTCATAGGCAGTTTTCTCTGAGAACTGCAGTTGTTCTTAAAAGTTGGTTTCTCATAGGTTTTGGCAACTTTTTGCAGGTTTGGTAATCGACTGATTGTTTTCTCAGCCGAAGCCGGGTAAGGGCCCCGGAACTTCAAAAAAATGTGTTACATATTCTGACTTTTGTACTTGAAAGGGACGCTGAGCCCGGTTCTCAGCACTTGATTCTCCCCACGAATAGATTGGAGCTTTTGTCCATTAAAAAAAAAAAAAAGATTCAGAGTGCTCGTACCACCTCTACTAGCAAAGACACTGTTTTTTTCAACAACAACAACAACAACAACAACAAAAATAAAAATAAAAAAATAAAATAAAAAAATCACATCGCCTACGCCGATGCAGCCAATACGAGTAGAGAGTCTAGAGAGTACTCATTTCAGAAACAACGGGTTCGCCAGGTTCGCCTCATGTACCTTCCTCTGGCTGGGCATGCTTGGTGCAGTGAGAGATGGACCACTGGATCCCCCTTTCTCATCTTCTTCGTCGAGGTTGACCACCTTTTTTTTTTTTTCACGGTGGTTTGCGGCGCTGCGACTTGATATCTGGCTCATGCCAGTGCGAGGCTATGCCCGCTTAGCCCCTACGGGGCCCTATTTGCAGCAAGGTCGGCCGCCCTAAGTGAAGGCAGGCACGACAGGCCCTTCAGGCCTCGTTTTTCAGGATACCCCGCATTGGGGAAAATTCAGGCAGTTGCGCAGCGCCAGTTGGTTGAATGAACCCAGGCCCTGGGCTGCCTGTGTGAATGTACGAAGAACAGGCCCTGGGCTGGATTCAGGTACTGGGCCGAACACAGGCCGAAAGCAGTTGGGCGCATGCAACCACTTCAGGCCCAAGGCCTGCTTTCCTCGTAACTGGGCCTCAGGCTACCGGGGCCTACTGGAAGCTTCCTGGACTGGACGCAGGCAGGCCACTTCGATATAGGGAAGGGCCTGCCTCTCATTTCGGCATTTTTCGGGTGCTGGATGCATGCTGCGCGAGCGCTGGTGCGCTATCTGCTGGCTGGCTGGCACTCACGCTCTCACGGGCGAGTAGGGAGGGAGCACGCAGCCATAGCCAAGCTGCACTGCTGTATGCTGGGTGAAGCGCAGGGTGGTCCTTGGGTGCTAGTGGCATCTGTGCGGTGTGGATCAGGGTTGTGAGTGTAGCGCAAGACATACCTGGTGCTGAAGCGGGCGACATTGGTCGCCATATGCTCGTACTTCGGGAACGCTGTTGATGTCATCATTCTGCTTCGTAGTATAGGCTAGATAGGATCTGCCACATGTAGTCTGGGCGCCGAGCGCCAATAGGATATCAACTCTGGTTCTTCGTTGATGATGATGGGACTACTTCAGCATTGTCAATTTTGAACTCTTGGTGTGTTCTTATTTGGTGTATCTCGTGATGCAATTCTGCTGTGGTTTGAGGTCAAGGCTATCTGGACTCATATGTATGATGCTGTATGATTGCTGAAGTTTGCTAATGCTCATCTTCCTTGCACCAGATCAGCGTCTGTACTCCCAGGCTCAGGGCATGATGGGATGCTGTTTTCAACAGTGGGCTATCATTGGAGGTAATAAATAAATGACTGAAATTTGAAACAGTTTTGATTCTTTTGAATGATTTTTCTCTCAATTGTTTTTTTTTTTTTTAATCTGGTTTTGGCTTCCGCTGGACAATCTCTCTCCATGGCTATGGCTATGGCTATGGTGTGAATCTGCTCTCCCTCCAGTCTGCCTGTCATTGCAGAAAGACAAGTTATGGGAACACATTTGAATGCACCGGTTTGAGTTTGAGTCGTGAATCGATCGAACACACTAGACTCTGAAAAAATCGAGAGTTCTGCCTCGCTCCACTTACACTACAGTCGTCACCTGAACAGAACGCCCGGTCATTATAGCTGCATTTGGCACAACTTTCAGTCCAGATACAGCTATAATTACCAGGCGTTTTATTTGGGTGAAGATGGTAAACAAACGGCTCCCCAATGTGTGTCAAGTGCTGTCCGAAAGTGTGCTAGACCAGCGATTTCTACTCTTCTAGAGTTCGCCCGCCTGCAACACTAGATACGTTTCCTCTAGGGTCCTCGGTGCCGGTCTCAAAACGGTGCTGAAATTTGAGAGTCCACCGCAAGTCTGGGTGTACAAACCAGGCTGGCGATGTCCTTTTGTGGAATCCGGCTGCTGTAGGCTGTCCAAAGTGTTGGGCCCACATATCTTTCCATGTCATAGCAGAAGATTCATTCTCAATTTGCAGATTCGCCCAGTGGTTTCCTCGCTCCACTACACTAGACTCCACTTTAGAGTGGTAGAGAGTCCGTCAAGAGTAGCGCCCTCTGGTGTACGTGGAGCGAGGCCTACTTTTTTGCTATTTTCTAGAGTCCGACATCTCTAGACAGACTCTAGACTATTTTCTAGAGTCTAGTGTAGTGGAGCGAGACCCAATGTGGCACTATAGTACAGAATCGAATCGGTACATCCATCATCAAATTCCGCACACACACAACTCTAAGCCGGGTAATGGCCCCGGTATCTCAAATGATCTCAAATTTTCTCAATGATCTATACAATTCGATAT